TTTCCAGCATCTATCAAGACTTAGAGCACCCCATGTATTACCAGGTTGCCAATCTTCAGAAAACCCTTCAAACTCATCACTAGATATTGGTTGTGTACATATGTCTCTGATCTCTTGCACATGGGTCCAATCCAGCCCATCCTCCTCTTCGTTATCACTCCCAGTACCATCACTCCTCGTGAATCCCATAAAGCCTCCTCAGTTGGAGTATTAAGTATTTCATGGATTCGCTTCCTTTCCCATTCTTCATCTGACTCTTTCTCCCGAGTAACCCGCTTCAAACCTCTGCCTCCATCTCCCTCCTCCTCCATTTCAGAATCTGAGAAACCTTCGAACAAATCAGTATCTGTAGGTGTCATGAATATCTCCCTAATTCGTTTCCTTTGCTGCTCTTGGTCCAACACCTGAGCAGCCCTCTTACCCCTTCTACTACCAGTTGTAGCTTGACCAGCACACTCTACTGCAACAATCTATCTACCTGTCTATCTATTCCAAATGTATGGTGATACCTCAGGAACATCTATTGGGAAGGAATCTTCCAGTGTAGATCTTGAAGCTAGTGTTACTTTTGTTAAGTTGCACCATTTCTGACTACAGGTGGAAAGGTCGAGTGTTTGGAAGCTATATCATTTATGAAACCCAAGAAAACACCTCCTTATATACACAAAACTTGCATTTCAGAGATAGCAATCTTTTTCTCTCTAGCCCTGTATGCAGAAAACTGTGTAATTACAGGGAGAACATTCAACCACATGATTCCATTCTTATCATCTGAATATTGTTGGTTTTGGACATATAGACTCAGGAATGTCTGCCAATGCTTATGGGAAGCCTTCTAAACCATTTCCTGTAGAAAGTAATAGAAGGACTAAATGGCCTTTGTTCTGCTGGTTTTTAATAAATTGTAAACAAAGTAATAGATCCAATATTATTCTACCTGTTTCAATGGCAATTTCCTTTCTCCCCCTACAGCTATCTGCTTCATATGAAAACCTGCTATCTCAAGCTGTTTGTGAGAATATTAAGGGAACTCTAATATGTGGGGGATTGTTGAAAGTTTTATTGGTTGGGACTTTTTTTAGAGGGGGAAATTCTTCTTCCATTACCATTAGATGTTTAGCATTTCTTAAATTTTAATGGGGTTAACTGTATGCACACAAACTTGAGACAACTTTGAATGCAAAAATGTAAATGAAACCAAAACCACTTTCCGATGAGCTTCTAAAATGAATCCATTCTTTCTGGCTTTTAAGCCAGTTAAATATTTAAGTATGTCTGTAGGACCCAAGACTTTTACAGGATGACTCACTGAGGATTTTATGGAGTGACAAAAAGAGTCCCCATAGGGAGACATACAAAATTTATAAAATGTGGAGAATACAAAATTAAAATCCATCCAACAGCTTAGTAAGCAATAGAAGCCAAACAATATATAGCTTTGTTTGTTTTGAGAGAAAAAAGATTAAAATAAAGGACAAGGAACAAGAGACACAGACAAGTTAGTGCTGAAGATCTACTCAGGTAAGGAAATATCCTAAATAAAAACATCCCTAAAGAACTTCCACATGGACAGAAAGGAAGTCGGATCATTTCATTTGAATTCGGATAGTTTGGATTATTGAAGTAGGATTTCCACAGATGCTGTTTATTTTTCAATAACCATTCTGAAGTGACTGGCAATGCTTCTGTAAGTTTCCTCTTCTCTCTATTTGCATTCGTGTTGTCATGAGAACAGTACAGTACTTTTTTGAAGTAGAGCAGAGAAGATTTCTATTGCTCTCATTAACACTTGTTTGGCAAATAATTGGTGGATAGTATATTAAAACAGAGAAGTGGGTAGGCCTGGGAAGAGGGAAAGGAGGTGGTAATTTCTTCTGTTGATTGTATATTTCTCTTTCCAAAAGAATGAAAGGAAGCACAAAAGTGAACTGCATAAGAAATCAATTCAGCTTTATTTTGGGGGTGGGAATAAATATGCTGTGATAGGAAAGTGTGTGTGTGCTGAAGCCTGAAGCATTTGTCTTCCGGCAGTGGGATTTGGGAGATGAACAGCTTGCTTGGAATAAAGCAACCAGATTTTGACCACATCTGTTGGTGTTTGTCTTATGATATTGGCCAGTGAAAAGCTGGATGGCTGTCAAATCAGTGTTATATAGCTTATATAGACAGGTTCCAGTTTACAATTCAGCTGGAAGTATGATCATTCCATTCACATCAATCTTGACAGCATCCTGAGAATAATGGCATTGGTAAACGGCACTCATTGTGGTGTCACGGGTGGTCTTGTGTTTGAGCAAGCTAGGTTCAGACTCAAATTTAGCCAGAAACAGTGTCATCTGGCATCGGTCTTTTTCCTTCTTGAGACAAAGGAAACCCTCAATTCCATGTACAAAACCAAACAGGACTGGCAATTGAATCTTTCTTAAACACTGTTGACAAAACAGCATGGTACACAATATCTAACACTAGCAGCTAAGATAGAGGCCATAGAACAAGTTGTGTGATACACACTGTTATCTCATCCAGCACTTCACCACTATTCAGTGTCTTCTCCCCAACATTACAATACTTTCTAGCCAATGGGACATTTTGAACTCACAACAAATAACACATGACTTTTCAGTGTTTTCTAAGCAGAAGAAGACCCCCAACCATGAGTTGAAAGGAGAGCTGTTGTCAGCCCTTTGGATTTTCATGTTAGCATAGAGAGAGAGAGAGAGAGAGAGAGAATACTGCAGTAAATTGAATGTAAATGTTGAATCACCCACTGGAAGAGATTTGACAGCTAAATGAGCTGTCAAAATTTAAGACAAAATTGAAGACCTATTTCTTTGGCAGGCCCATGCAATAAAAAACTGTGAATTTTAAATTTACATTGTATTGATATTATATCTTAATCTCTGTACCACATATCTTAATATATGCATTTTATGGTATTTGTCTGTTTGTATCACAAAGGCTGTTGCTACGTGAAGTGGACATCTGTGATATCACTGGATTGGTTGTTTCTAGTTATAGGATTGGCTATTGCTAGGTAAAATGACCCATCATGATGTCATTGGGAAAGAAAGGTGACATGTGTATGAGGGAATTAAGAAAGGAAGATAATAAAGAAAGAGAAATGGAATGTGAAAGAATGAAGGGAAGGAAGGGGAGAGGGAAAGAAAGAAAGAAAGAAAGAAAGAAAGAAAGAAAGAAAGAAAGAAAGAAAGAAAGAAAGAGAAGGGAAGGAACATAAAGCAAGCAAAGAAAGAAGGGATGAAGGAATATGGGAAAGAAATAGAAGAGAAGAGAAAGGAAGGAAGAGAAAGGAAATAAAGAGGGAAGAGGGTGATCAGGAGAAGAAGGAAAGTCACAAAGACAATAAATGCGAAGAGAGTTGTCGAAATACTGCTGTGGAGACATTGTAAGGTTGGACTTCTCAGAGCTGAAGAAGAGAGAAAGCAGGAAGGCAGCAGTTCCAACAATACCTGGGCAACACTGGGTATATACAAGGGACAGGGCCTTCTCTGTGGTGGCCCCTCGGCTGTGGAACTCCCTGCCTAGGGATATTAGATCAGTACCCTCCCTCCTGACTTTTCGGAAGAGAGTAAAAAGCTGGCTCTTCGAGCAAGCATTCGGAACCCTGGAATAGATAGTCAAGCTTGAGATGGAGAATGACCCAGGAACAGCCAAGACAATGAAACGGATGAGGAATGAGAGGATATAGCTCTTTTTAAATTGTCTTTTTTGCCTAAACGCACTTAATTGTTTTTGCTTTTTGAATGTAAGTATTGATGGCATCGAATTGTGTCGTTATGTAGACCGCCCTGAGTCGCCTGCGGGCTGATATGGGCGGGATCAGGCATGTAGGCGGGGGGGGGGGGGGGGGTGGGGGGCTTTTGAGGGCTTCAGCGTCTTTGGGGCTTGAGGGGCTTCAGCCCCCTCCCCCCCCGAAATTCTCATGGTGGTTCGCGAAAAGGCCTTACTGGTGCATTATTTAAACTGTTATGTTCATTCATATCATGATCTGATCACCATACTCAATATATCCCATATGCATGGGGGTATTGGGGTAATGATACAAAAGGTTTGCTAGGCTAGACCCTCTTTCACTCAGACTCAGCCCCCCCGAAACTCAGCCCCCCCGAACCCCCCTGAAAATTTTTCCCCCCCCCCCCCCCGAAACGAAATCCTGGCTACGGGCCTGGGCAGGATATAAATAATGTAAATAAATAAATAAATAAACAAATTGTAAATGATGGGACAAAGCAAAGGGCCAGAGCCTCTGCTTAAACCTTAATGAATGAGATTAGAAATCTCAGTTCTGCATAGCAGTTCTTGAGACAAATTTCTTGGTCTGCCCTAGATTCATAATTGGATCTTTTAAAATCATGCATGTGTTGGGTCAGATGTAGAAATTCCAGAATTTTAGTTAAGACATCTTTTCATGGCCTACCAGAAAATAGCAGAGCAGGTTCCCCTGATGGGAAGTTTGGAGCTTTTGAGACTTAAATCAAAAAGCTAAAGCTGGAGGCCAAGCATAGTGAATGGCAATTCACATTCCTCAGAATCCTTTTCAGGCATAGAAGTGAAAAGGGATATAAAACATCACCTTCTGACTGACAGACAATGTGAAGTCTTTTGATAGGTCAAGCCTCTCATCAAAAGGTGCCTAGTTTTCCACCTTTCCTTACTCAGCAGGGTCAAACCTGTTGCCTTCTATACCGAGAACCAAATCCTTAACCAATTGTCTCAAGAGAACACAATGTATAGGTCCATGTTGGGTTAACTAGCTTGGTCCTGAGATTTGGCTGAAATGGTTAGCAGCCAATAGAATGTATGTAAAATATATCTGTCTGTCTGTTCATCTTTCTATGTACTAAGAGATTTTATCTGTTGTAAGATTTTGCAAGTAACAGGTCTGCTTCATATGATGCCATTTAATAGACTGCACATCTGTTTTCAAGTTCCCCAGGGGCTACTAGCTGTACTATCCAGATTTTTTCTCTTTTTGGCAGGAATTATTAGTCGCCAAGAGGCAGAAGAGCTGCTGATGAATAAGTCTGAAGGAGCTTTCCTAGTGCGGGTCAGTGAGAAAATCTGGGGATATGCACTTTCCTATCGGCATCAGAGTGGTTTCAAACACTTTCTGGTGGATGCTTCTGGAGATTTCTACAGCTTCTTAGGGGTGGATCCCAACCGGCATGCAACACTCACAGACCTCATTGATTTCCACAAGGTATAACTGGCTGTGCACAGATCAATCATTGAACTCAGGAGGTGAATAATTCAAAAGGAAGGAGTAGTGTGCAGGAGCAAAATTTGCTTCAGGTTTAAAAGTACAGGCAAAAAAGCACTCTGGGAAGTAACAGTATTGGGATCTATTGTCAAAGGCTTTCATGGCCGAAATCACTGGGTTGTTGTAGGTTTTTTTTTATTTTATTTGAGAACACAGAAATGCTGGACCACTCTCACAACCACCATGTCAGACTACACAGAGAAGCCATTGAAATCCACAAGCATGTGGACAATTTCAACAGAAAGGAGGAAACCATGAAAATGAATAAAATCTGGCTACCAGTATTAAAAAACTCTAAAATTGCAACAGCAAAACAACAGAGAGGAAACAATCTAATCACCTCTCAACAAAAGTTTCCTCCAGGCACAGTCAGCCCATTGTATGCTAATCAAGGTGGTCAGTTGAAACATTCACACCTAGCTCCAGCAGACAAGAGTTCTTTGTCCCACCCTGGTCATTCCACAGATATATAAACCCTTTTCCTAGTTCCAACAGACCTCACTACCTCTGAGGATGCTTGCCATAAATGCAGGCGAAACGTCAGGAGAGAATGCCTCTAGAACATGGCCATATAGCCCGAAAAAACCTACAACAACCCAAATGAAAACTTACAAAGGTACTCATTTCTGTATTGTTGAAGGCTTTCATGGCCGGAATCACTGGGTTGTTGTAGGTTTTTTCGGGCTGTATGGCCATGGTCTAGAGGCATTCTCTCCTGACGTTTCGCTTGCATCTATGGCAACCATCCTCAGAAGTAGTGAGGTCTGACTACCAGTATTAAAAAACTCTAAAATTGCAACAGCACAACAACAGAGAGGAAGCAGGCAGGGACATCTAATTACCTCTCAACAAAAGTTTGCTTCAGGCACAGTCAGCCCATTGTATGCTAATCAAGGTGGTCAGTTGAAACATTCACACCTAGCTCCAGCAGACAAGAGTCCTTTGTCTCACCTGGTCATTCCACAGATATATAAACCCCTTTTTCCTAGTTCCAACAGACCTCACTACCTCTGAGGATACTTGCCATAGATGCAGACGCAACAGACCTCACTACCTCTGAGGAAGCTTGCCATAGATGCAGGCAAAACATCAGGAGAGAATGCCTCTAGATCATGGCATGGAGAATGCCTCTAGACCATGGAAAATGCCTCTAGACCAAAGATAATGCCTGACAGGGTTTGTTTCAGGGTTTTCAAACCCTACTCCATAGAAGACTGGTCATGAAGGCTCTTAGAACCCCAGCAGTAGATTCTGCATTTTATCCATGTTTGCAGAATCCAAATACTCACAGATATCTTTTGGAGTTGAGCTTTAGAAAGCTGAGTTCTTCAGGTTGTTAATTTAGGAAAAGTCAAGGGAAAAGTAGAAACAGAATTAAAAGTAAAGTAACTTCTGCATGTCATAATATAGAGATGCTTGATGGCTTCCATGTTAGTGAAGTGATGACCCTGGTCTGGGTTTTAAAAGGAGCTCTCCAAGGTAATGAACTCCAAATAGGTTCAGAACATTACAGAGTCTTTTCCAGCATACATTTGCTGCTCCTTTATTGTTTCTTTTTTGGTGATCAGTGAGAGTCCCCCCCCCCCCATTGGAATAGCAGGTGTTTCTCCCTTTTTCAAGTCTAATTGGCACCTTGGCTGGGGTAAAGGGTCATAGCTCCCATGTCACACATGGCCCTAATCTGGCATGGTTTTCCTCCATGTAAGGGGTTTTATTTTTAAGGTGAAGCCAAATGATGTGAATGAAGTGAGTGACCACCTGCTGCAATGCACCCTGAGCCCTGCCACATGCACAATGGAGGACCTCCTTGCAGCAACACCAGAAGCACTCCAAGTGGCCAGATACTGGTCAAAGGACATTTAGTCAACTACCAAACTCACAAATTTTGTATTTTGTCTGTTTGTTTGCTTTGTTCTGTTAGAAATGTAATATAATTTGGCTGGTTGTCCTGACACGACAAATAAATTTGTTCACAGTTCCCTGTGCCCTAATGCCCAATTTGAAGTTTATATTTTCAGCCATAAAGCCTCATAAAAACCCAATTTTAAAGAAAAGAAAGCTGGGATTGTCAGGGGGCTAAATTTCAGGCTTGGTTACACTTTCTGTGTTCTTTTAGAATCCCAGCTCTAGACACAAGATATAGAAGCAAGGACACTAAACCCTGAAAACAGAGGCTAAACTTTAAAGGAGCCCTCCAAGCTGGACCTGATATCTACAAATACTGTATATCTGGCATCTTTGGACAGCTACTTTGAAGTCCAGACTAAAACCTTCATCAAATTCAATGCCCCAATGACATAGAAGCCATCTGCTGCCTCTGTCTACAGGCTTCAGATGATTCAACTACGTAGGTGACACAAGGACTGACACATCTTCAAAGCTCACATCTCTCTCTATAGGCATCAAGCTTGAACTGAGGCATTTTTCTCTGTCTTGCTCCCTGCTTGCTCATCATAGGCAATAAGAGAGCACGCAAAAGCCCATTCATCTAGGGAGGAAGCACAGGGACACCTGTCAGAAGCAAAACGTCCATTAGCCTCTGACATTCAAAATAAAATAGATTGGGGTGTCCCCCGGTGAGAAGAAAAATCAATGGCTGCAGCTATGACAAGCTTGTTAGAGGACTTGCTCTGCCCCTGAAGTGAGCAGACAGTTCCCGTTTAATTGTCTGTGGTCAAATGGGAAACAGATTTAACTGTGTTGTCTTGGGATGCTGATCCTTTCTTATCTCCCCTGCCACCACTAGCTCTCATGTCTTTTCCATCTGAGTGCACTGCGACAGCACAAATGCAGAAAAATGAAAGGAGTAAATACCCAGAGCTAACTACGACAATGGCAGAAAACTGCAGTGGTCCAGGAAACATGTTTCCATAACACACACGCACACACGCATACTGCAATTATTGTCTGTCAATCTCATGCTGGGGTCTTATACACCCACTTAGGGATCTGAACTTCTATTTGATGTTGAATTCCTTGCCACCCCACCCCCCACCAAATAGCACTTGAAACCTTGATTTCCACAGCAAAACATAAAAATCATTAGAAGTGGCTCATGTCTTTCATGTCAGCAGAGCAAAAAAGTCACTTCCAGATTCTAATCCACACTTTACATGAGCTGTTTAATGTGCTGAACATTCAAGTTCTTTTTACTTTTCCTGCAATTACAGCACTATGTACTGGTTTCTGGCTCTGGATTGCTCAGTGGCCCCACCCACAGCCACGCAAGACTTAAGGCATGGTGGAGCAGTTTGAAGGTTACCATGAAGGAGCCAGGCTTGTTCAGGGCCAGCTGGTTTGCCGACTGTAAAAGACGGGGGCTTATTTTGAGAAATAAAATCTCAAATGCTGAACACCAAATGTGATTGGAATGAGGCTTCTGTGTGTAAAAGCCCCAAAACAAAAGCTGCACTAAGCTGGAACTTTTTCCTGGCTGAAAAATCTTATGAAAGCATTCTGGCCACCACCAAACTTAAAAGCACTGGCAAGCCCTTGGCTTACTTGAGGTATCTTAAGCAAGAGTAAGTTGGATTAGCACTCAGGCTTGTGATCTGAGGTAACATTAAAAGATTGTTCTTTAAAATCTATGCTGCCACCATTAGTCTCCTTTTTGGTGCAGGAAACTGTTTTTAAAACTTCACCCACAGAGGCACACATGAGGTAGATGTTGTGAACAACAAAACAGTGATGTTTATTTAAGAGAACTGGAACAAATCAGGTAGAATTCTTAGCTGTATTAACTTAAAAACGTGTGGTTACTTTAAGCAGTTCAGACTTAGTTACACATGAACACTTCTCTCTCCCTCCATAGAATTTACTGACAGGATTTCTTCTCTGAAAGTAATTCTAAACTCCACCACAGATAGTCCTACCCTGGATCTATCTCTACACGCCTCCACCAGCTATTTCCCTAATAGCTGTAGAAATCTTTTCACTAGCTATCTCTGCTAGCCAACTGACCAATTTCAAGTCTATCTCACTAACCCTTCACCACTCCTAACTCCCATCTCCTTCTTCTTAGACACCCACAGTCAATCTCCTTTGACATCCAACTTTACATATGGCAACTATTCAATTCATTAACCTATGACTTACATTTTACATGTTTACAGATTTTCCCTTTACAGGTTATTATGAGTTCTTTCAATAAATAGGTTAGAAAATTGTCCTTTAGATCAATTTTCTTGTGTCTGATCTCTTTATTTCATGGTGGGAGTTCAAAAATAGTGCAGTGTTGAATGTGCCCACACAGCAGCAGCTGAAAAATAAAAGGGATAGCTCCTTTCACCACAACTACTGACATGTAAGCCACAAGCTACCAGCCACCATTGATTAGGCATCTCGGAATGTTGGTTGTGGAAGAAACTGCTCTTATGAACCCTTTTTGGATAGAAAGGGAACTGGTGGATCTTCTTCAAGTCATCACAGTCCTGACTTCTGGAGAGCCATCTTTCTTCCACACTGTTCCACAAACATGACTGTATCAGACCATAGGTTACCAAAATGTGGAGCTACATGAAAACATTATACATTATGATATGTGACCATAGGTAGGAAAGTGTGAATGGACAAGGTCCCCCCCCTTTTCATTTTGAGAGAGGCAGAAATTTCATTTAGTCCTTGTTTTGGTTCTCACTGTCAATACTCTCAACAAAGAAAATAGGATTAATAGGGCAACAAAGAATAATATTACTTTCTTCAACCTAACAATAGAAATTCAACAAACAGCACTTGATATTCTTATAGAACTTCCTCAATAGATGAAACAAAGTTGCCATTTTACCATAACTCAGTTTTGGTTTCCATAGCTAAAAAGGTTCAGTTAAAATGGGTGGATGAATATGTTGCCTCCCAGTAAGAAATCTGTCTCCTCATATGAAATTTTTCTTCTCTCATCAAATTTCTAGCAAGAATGAAACACTGAAAATAATTCATGCTGCCGGTTTTGTATTTGCTGTGTTTCTATCCTCTTAGTAGTGTTGCCTCCAGTGTTGATGAACTGATAGTCCTGTCAGACTTAGCAAGCATAATCTATGGAGGAAGATAATAGTCCAGTAAAATCTGGATAGCCACACATCCATCTTTCGTGTGCATGGAGAAAATCAGCTATAGCCTAATGACCGTTCAACATACATAACATTTAATTAATATACTTCTTTGTGTAGATTTTAATTCTAACTATTGAAACTCACAAAATGTGAAATACATTGTGTTTTCTGAGATTTGGGATCAGATAGGTTGAAAAAGTGTATTTGGGATTGTACTCCGGTAGTCAAAACTGACACAATTATTTTTCATTTGCTTATGCAATGTCTTTTATCTTTCCAGGAAGAAATAATCACATCTTCTGGTGGAGAGCTGCTACTGGAACCTTGCGGACAGAAAAAGAATCCACCCGACTATATCCCCTTATTTGAATGACACGAGTATTTTTTCCACTTTTGGACTACAGTAACTATTTTAGAAGAGCAGAAATATTCAGTGAAAGAACTTGAGAAACAAGTGTCCAGCTTATGATCAGCAAATATGAATGAGCTAAAAGTTTTAGGCAGATTATTGAGTTTTTAATTATAAGAGAGATATGCCATTAGTAAGAAATGCAAAGTGAAGAATATAAAGGATAATTACTTCAAAATATAGTTAATGTGCTGATCAAAAACCAGCATTTTCAATGTGTTCAGTAATATCAATAGGAAAAAATATGATAGGTAATGGTTCTAGTACTAGCATACACTGATTTTTGAAATTCTCAGAGTTATAGTATTTGAGAAGCATGTAATTTGTGGTATGGGAATGTAGCAATAGGTGCTTTCTGAGCAGTAAATTACAGGTTTTATATCCATATGTCTGTTTACTTAAACCAGTGCCTCTCACAATTATTTAAAAACTTGAAGGGGAGGACTACATTTTTGAATGAAACAGGCACATGACTAAAGAAAACAGAATTGATATTGAACTCCCCACCCCCGCCCAATGTCTCAACTTTGTTCTTGTATGCTTTTATCCCAAGCAACCACTGGCTGAAAATACCTAGTCATTGAAAATAAATGTACTTCTTGGAGAGAGGGTGGCAATTAAATGCAAAGTTAAGCCAAGGCTTTTCCTCCACCGGTGTCGTCTTTGTGCCCCAGAAAACCCCTTCCACTCCCCATCCAATTTAATTAAATTTACATATAATTAAATGGCGCTCATCCTTTTGCAATTTAAACATAGCCAGTAAACTGAGAGGGCACTGCAGTTTCTGTATTTTTAAAATCATTAATGGAGGTGTAATGAACTTGAGGTCAGAAGTGGGCAATGTGTGGGTCCCAGGAATTTTTTTGTGGCTTCCAACTCCTCCTTCAGACTCTCCACTTGCCAAGTGAAACAAAACAAAAATGGAAAAAATTGCATTCATAGATAACACCATAAGTGACAGCTTATCTTTCAAATTGGTTGCAAGCTCTCCCTGCCATTCTATTGACTATTGGTCATGTCAGGAGTCACTCCTGTTGTGAGAGTCGCTCCTGTTGCGTATTGACTATGAAAAACAGCCATCTTTCAGAACCAGATATGGACTCTTGTCCACTTCAACGTTTTTGCTTTTGGGCATTTTTTTTTTGCATTCAGGAATTCCAGAGCAGAAAACTGTTCTCCAGACCCACTATCATTTCTCAGCCCTTTCTCACATTTTCACTTTCTTACACTTATTGCTCACTGTTCCATTATGAAGAAGGTTTTTCTTTGGTATCCTTAACTGTATGTCAGATTGAATCATTAATATAGAAATATATTTCCTGCGTCTGGCAAATATCAAGGGATATAAACATGCACCAACTTCTCACTTGCGCTCGTTACCAACTTTTTATAAGGGACAATAAATACAGGTGAGACACTGAAATATTGTGACTATTAGGCCTGGGTAACAACGGAAAAATTTGTTTCTAAAATCGATTTGTATTTGGGGTTTTTTTTTGTTTCGATATTTAAAATAATTACAAAATTTTCCTTTTAAAAAGTTCGATATTTACGAAATTTCGTAAATGGTAAAAAAATTAACGAATTGTCCGAAACAATAACGAATCGATTCGTTAATGGCGGACGCGACCGCGAAATACGCTAAAAAACCTCCAAAACCTTCTGAAGCTTCCCTCTCCCTCTGTTGTTGACTGTTGGTGTGATATTATAATTTTTTTTCACTAATTAAACCCTAAAACTGGCCCAGACATGCGGAAATAATAACGAAACGACCTCAAAACAATAACGAAACGAATACAATATCGAAATACGAAGCATTTACAAAACGTTTTTGAAAATTCGTTTTTTAATAATTGCTCCAGAATGGTTCGTTATCGTTTTGTAATTGAAAAAATTAACGAATTATTAATGAATTACGAATTAACGAAACGAAACCGCCCAGCCCTAGTGACTATATATTTTTTTGTTTCAACTCCTCTGGGGCCCCTCTTCCTGACCACTTTGCTTTACAAGCCTATGTGGCCCACTATATTGACATATTTATATTTTGTACCAAGCCTCAGGTACATAAGGTATGATTTTTTTTTATACTTGGAATGGTTCCCGTTGGAATATACAAGGGGACTATATATTTTCATGCCTCCCAATGTTATTGTAGCTTTCTATTCAAAGGGCTCTGGAGATGATTTACAGAAACAAAACAATTATAAGACCAACCCAGTCATTCAAAGCTTGTAAAAGTAAGAGATAACACCATCAGCGGTACAAGCAGTGAGAAGGACCTAACACTAAACTTACAATGTCTGGCATAGAGAAAAAAAAAGTCAAACTAATGCATGGATTGAGATTTAAGGTCCACTTAGATCATACCTACTAAAATCAATTGGACTTTAAAGTTAGGCATGACTGACATCATTTCTACTGATTTCAGAGGGCTTACTCTTGGAATATGGATATTTCCTTCTTACGTTCAAGAGCAAATCATTTCAAAAGTTTTCTTCCTGCTGGGCATGTTTATAAAATGTATCCATATTTTCTCTAAATCATTGACATTTGCAACTTTTAGGGATGTTTGTGAGGAAGTTTTCCCCCTCTTCCTTAGGCAGCTGGACTGTAGGAGCAGTGGCATGCATAATTTACTGCTGTCCTACTGCCTAGCCATGCTTGATAAACACCAAATGTGCTTTAGAAGTACTCACTCCCACTGATTTATTTCCAGCATTTCACAGACAAGTTCAAAATAACCTCCAGTTCCTCCTCCCTTGGCTTCTGCTCATCCCTTCCTTTTATACCCACAGCTGCTTGCCCTCAAGGTGCTTTCAGCATCAGCTTCTGGATCCCTTCCTGGAGTTAGCAGTGCACTCAAGACCTCTTACACTCTTATAGGGGGGGAATACAATGAAAACCCCACTATTTTCTAAAAAAGAACAGGTCTTTAGTGACAAAAATGAATTATGGTTTTGTTTCAGCAAAGTACAGTTTTTGGTTCAAAACAGTAAGGTTGATTTTTCACACAAATCTCAACATGCAAAAAAATCCGATGGCAGTTACCATTTTCTTAACAAAACATTTGCCCCTTAACCCCCGAAATAACGAGACAAACACAAATGTATGGATTCAAATTGGGCAACTTTTATTGAATGTTACCTATTTAACTTTACCTGAACTAAACTAAGTGTCAAGGAACTTGGTGGCAAGCTGAGGCAGCGTCCCCAGCTACTTAATGTGTGATGTCTGTGTGCCCTGGATCCCCAACCGGGCAACCTGAAGGTAAAATCTGGAGAAGCCTGTATCCGATTCTTAATATCAGCTCCTCTCTTTTACTGGGCCAATTGATGTCCCCTCACCCAATTGTTGACTTCTAGGTGAGTGTTTGTTGTACCGTGCCCCCCACCCTTAATGGGTGCCATGTGTATACCTCCATGTCAGTGTTTTACCTGAACTATTTATGCTGGCCTAATTAAGCCAAACCACTCCATCTAGCCCCTAAAAAACAGTATAGGGTAGGCGAAAAAACCCCCCAGAACATGAGAGGGAAAAAATTCCTACCCGGCTCCAACGGGCAACCAAATATACTGTCAATGGGCGGGAGTGGCGGGCGAAAAGTCAAACAAGACTGAGGGGCAGAGGCTGGCTCACGTGGTTAGCCAGCCCCCGCCCCTTTTCCTGGAGGTTCTAAAAGGAACCTCCCATTCTCTTTCTTCGGGGGGTGGGGCAAATCGCTCTCCCCACCAAATAAAGGATTGATGTTTGCCCCTTAACCCCTGAAATAACGAGACAGACAACAAAGTATGGATTCAAATTGGGCAACTTTTATTGAATGTTACCTATTTAACTTTACCTGAACTAAACTAAGTGTCAAGGAACTTGGTGGCAAGCTGAGGCAGCGTCCCCAGCTACTTAGTGTGTGATGTCTGTGTGCCCTGGATCCCCAACCGGGCAACCTGAAGGTAAAAGTCTGGAGAAGCCTGTGTCCGATTATTGATATCAGCTTCTCACTTTACTGGGCCAATTGATGTCCCCTCACCCATTTGTTGACTTCTAGGTGAGTGTTTGTTGTACAGTGCCCCCCACCCTTATGGGTGCCATGTGTATACCTCCATGTCCATGTTTTCCTGACTATTTATGCCACAGATTGGGGGCAAATGTCTATTTCGCT